CCTAAACAATAGACTCACATAACTGGAAAGTCCAGCTGTCCGTCAGGCTTCAGAATTAGTTGATCTAGGGGCTCAGTGATGTCAGTAGATATCTGGTTTCCTTCCTTTATTTTTCCATTCACAGGGTTTATTTCATCCTAAATCAGGTTCCATTCTTTCTCATAAGCTGGATGCTGGCTGTAGTCAAGGACACAAGCTTTCTCATTTATACTCAGTAGGAATAAGACCCCTTTCTCTCCCAGGATCTGAGGTAGAGGCAGCCACCTTTAAAGATCATGGACTATGTGGGGGATGCATGGATATGGGAAGAAAACGCGTATATAATTAGATGGGGGAGAGGTGGGCTGGACAACCAATACTGATATAGCTATCTGCTCTAGACTTCTCCCTTGTTACTTCTGGAGCTCTGGTCTTGTGGTAAACATACTCCACTTTTTCATACTCTGGATGGTCTCTTCTCCTTTTAACCTTTCCTGAAATCCCCTCAGCCCTGCGGAAAATACTTCCCCTACACCCGTCTTTTCTTCCACATCTCATAGCACAAAGTAAGGAGGAAAATCCACATCTTTTGTTCCCCAGATCCTACCTTGCCCCCAGCCCAACACTTCTTCACCTTGTATAAAACCACTGTCGAGGCTCGCAATCTGGTTTTACCATTCTATACCCTGCCCATAATGTCTTCTCCCAACCACCTGGTCAGCCCCTTCTATTCTTTGAAGACTTCTGTCCCTGGTTCAGTCTTCCTTTCTACTCCCAGGCCCACCTGTCAAGCTGTGGACTCCAGTGTTCATCGTAGACAATTTATCCAATACTAGGATGTCGGCTCGTTGCATTCTTCAGCTTGTTTATCTCAACCATCCACTTCCAATAAAATATGCTGGATTTTGTCAGTCTGTTTAGCTTTTCAATTCCTAAACCCAGACATCACACATTTTTATTACAATCTAACTACTCCCATTTTACCCATTTTATTGATCTTACTGAGATTGTAGTCTTCTATCTAAAACAAATTGCTGTCCATGCTTTATATGCCATTTGTTCCTATCTCCTTTGACCTTTCTCTAAATGTCATTTAAGAATAAATTTAAAAAATTAGTTTCAAGTGGAGTCATGAAAAATGATAAATTGCTTAAAATATATATTCAAACAAAACATAAATGTATATTTCTAAATATTTTGATGTAAGATGAAGGCCTTTTTAGCAGGTATGAATCACTTGATTGGAATTCCTCACTGTCTTTGCTTAACTACATCTAAAATGTACCATTTTTAAATTTCCAATTTTTTTTTAAGTGGAACAAGAACACACCTAAAGACACACATAATTAATCTGAATCTGAAGTCTTCTGAATCATCACAATTCTTTACTTAAACTTCTATTACAGCCGGGTTTTGTTTTTGTTTTTTTGGTTGGCTTTTTAGTCACTATCTATTAAAAAGTATTTCCAAAACAGTTTAGCTAAACAACAAATCATTCTGTTTACATACATTTAACCGGTTAAATATTTAAATTGCATAAAAACAAATAGTCATAAACAGGTTTTGGAATTTGACCTTTGGTGAATATATAACTCAACTGGTTAAAGGAGAAATGTGAAAATATATTAGAAAGTAGTCTGCCAGCCTTGGGTCCATTAGCCAGTGTTTCACATCGGAGACTTCAGTTCCTGTGGACAGACAGCATTTAGATCTCCCCAATCTTCCATTGCCTCGGCCCCTTCCAGCTGCACCAAGTTAGCTACCTTTGTTTTCATGCCAGAGAATTGCTTAGGTGTACTCTCCAGTTTTCACCTTCTTCACACCTCTTAACAGTAATCTGACTTCCACCCCTATCACCCCACTGACACTACTCTTGCCAAAGTAATCAATGGCATTCCTGTTGCTAAGTTCAACAGACTCTTCTGTCTTTCTTTATACTGTTATTCGCTCCCTCCCTTTTATATATATATATATATATCTTTATTGATTTCAGAGAGGAAGAGAGAAGGAGAGAGATAGAAACATCAGTGATAAGAGAGAATCATTGATCAGCTGCCTCTTGCACACCCCCTACCGGGGATCACACCAGCAACCCAGGCATGTGCCCTTGGCCCGAATCGAACCTGGGACCCTTCAGTCCGCAGGCTGACGCTCTATCCACTGAGCCAAGCCGACTAGGGCTCCCTCCCTTTTTTAATGCTTACTTTTCACAACTTCCTAGACCCAGCCTGGCTTGGCTTTCCTTCTACCTCAGTGATTAAACCAGAGCTAGAACTCAGTTCTTCTGTTCTCACTCTGCAAATTCCCTTGGGCCAGTCCAACCACCCCTCTAATTACCATTTAATATTAATGTATTCCACTTACCTGTGCCACAGCCACTTGGCATGTCCAAAGTTGAATTTCTCACCCCCACCCCAAAGAGCCACCTCCTCCCCTTTCTCAGTTCCCTATTTTAGTGATGGCACCGCCATCCATTTCCAACACAGAAACCTGGACATCCTCCTTGACTCTCTCACCTCCCCACACATCCATTCAGTACCATCTCATATTGATTTGTTTTTTAATCACTCCAATTCCCTTTATTTTCTAGTTCAGCGTGCCAAAATTTTATGCCCTAAATACAGTAATAGCTTTCCTCTAGAATGATTTCTCTTTTCCAAACTTTTCAACTCACTATAATTTGAGTGATTTCTCTAAAATGCATATTTTATTTCATCTCTCACCTGATTAAAAGACTTCAATGGCTCTCATTGCCTTCAAAATAAGATTGAACTTTTTTTTTTTAATTTCAGAGAGGGGAATGGAGAGGGAGAGAGGGACAGAAACATCAATGATGAGAAAGAATCATTGATCAGCTGCCTCCTGCATGCCCCATACTGGCGCTTACTCCTGCAACCCATGCATGTGCTCTGACCAGGAATCGAACCATGACCCCCTGGTTCATGGGTAGATGTTCAACCACTGAGCCACACTGGCCTGGCAAGGTTGAACTTTTTAATGATTTCCAAGGCTTTGCATTCAGTACTTCCTACTTACCTTTTCAGACTTCTCTCTCCTTATAGCCTTTGGCCTTTGGATAGCACATTGTCTAGATCTTGGCTTACGCATTTCTCCTTCTAGACAATATTCCTAGAAAAGTTCCTTTTGTGGCCTTTCAGAGTTCCCTCTGCTGACCCTATCATAGCACTCATCTCAATATAGTATAATTGCCTATCGATCCATTTGTCTTCTCCACTGTATTGTAATAGCATGGTCCCAGTCAATTCGCCTTTTTGTTCTCGGCACCTATCACAGTGACCAGACACAGTACACGCTCATAAATATTTGTGAGTTTGTGAGTGAATGGCCTTGAGCAAGTCACTTAGCTTCTCTGAGCCTCAATTGCATCATATATTAAAAGGGAATACTGTCTGACCTACATTATAAGGTTGTTTTAGGGTGTTGTAAATAATAGGAATGACGTTTAACATAGCAGTTAAGAATGTGGGATCTGGATCTATACTACCTGCTTTTTTTCTTTTTTTTAATTTATTGCTGTGACATTGGTCAACATGAACATACTAGTAGAGGTTTCAAATGTGGGTTTCTGTTATAAGATACTACCTAGCTTTTAATCCTAGCTCCCACCATAGTGACCTTGAGCAAGTTACTTAACTGTGTTTTGTGTTTTTGTTGTTGTTGTTGTTTTTTGTTTTTTTTGTGTGTGTTTTTTTGTTTTTTTATTTTGTTTTAATGCTTAAAGTAACTTAACTGTGTTTTAGTTTTCTCTTTGGTAATACAAGAATAACCATAGTATCTGCCTCATGGGGTTTTTGTGAGAACTGAGTTAATATGTGAAAAGCACTTAGTACAGTGCCTAAACACAATAAATGTTAGCTATTAATTATAACATTTTTATTTATAAGCTCTAAAATTATCTATACACACAAACACATGCATCTGTAGATAGATGCACACATGGCACCAATTATTAATTTGAGTATTTAGGGGGTTGGAGGACTAGTATAATTATCCTTAATTTTTTCTTTTAGAATAATGTCATAGCTATACCAGAGTTTATTTTCCAAGTTTTAAATTCAAATTCCCATTCTTGATATTTTGGTAAAAAAATTTTTTAACTGGTGTTCAACCTAAATTTGAATGCTGAATCCCAAACATTTTTGAGACTGCATAAGTAGTAGGTGGCCATTGCACAGGAAAAACATGATTTAATTACATAAACAATTTAATGTTTGGAAAATACAAATTTAATTAAATCTGTAACTATTCAAGAAAAAAATATAAGAGCATTGAAGGGTTTTTTCTATATACTTACTTTTTATTGAATTTGTTAATGTTACAGAGCTCTTGCACTGCCAAAGCATGCCTGAGAATTCAGAGAAAGAAATGGTACAATGGACAGCCTATTCACCATCATACAGTATATTAAAACTTGATTCATGTGCATTTTGATAATTTCCCAATTTTTAAAAAGCTCTAATAAGAGTTGATGTTAAATCCCCTTTATATTCATAGTACAGTGTGCCATTAAATAAGTTCCACATATCCATATCAGTTTATTCCTCAATAACATAACCTTCAACATTTTGCCGGGGGGATGGGGGGGAGATGCCTATTTTTCAGAGAAAACATGTGGCTCAGGTCCAAGAGATTTAAGAGTTTTAGTTCCCAAATGAAGTCTTCAGTTTCACCAGGAGCCCAACCTCTCCTTGGCTTGCTCAGCAACTCACCCAAACACATCAGAAGGCAGGCATCCTGCCTGCCACCTGCCATAACACCAGCATTATTGCCCAGGAAGAGTGGGCGGGTCCTGGCAGGAGATCCCATAAGCCCCCAGGAGTCGGAGTCCTGCACTGACACTTTCACAGGAGCGTTGTGCATATATGTTCAGCGGAAAGAAATTGCTCAATTTTATTAAAAAGTTCTCTTTTATTTAAATTTAATTAGATAATACCCACTTGTCTATTGACTTTAGATCAACAGAATTGCCTAATTTTTATTCTCTTTCTGATTCTCTTTAGAATTGGTGGTTGCAGGATTTTATTCAGAATGACTTTGGGGCGAGAAGTGATGTCTCCTCTGCAGGCGATGTCTTCCAGCACTGCGGCTGGCAGGAATGTTTTAAGATGGGATCTTTCACCAGAACAAATTAAAACAAGAACCGAGGAGCTCATTGTGCAGACCAAACAGGTGTATGATGCTATTGGAATGCTTGACCTTGAGGAAGTAACTTATGAGAACTGTTTGCAGGCACTGGCTGATGTAGAGGTGAAATACATAGGTGAGTAGGATGCAAAAGCACATCAATATTTCATTTTGTGGGCATCATAAACCATTGTACGTTTTCTGTCTTAGCAATCCGTTTTCCAATTTCACAAGATAATGATTTTTACATAATGATTAATTAATTGCTTGGAATTAAGTTACCTCAGATTAAAATTTTTTATTGTGTTAGCAAAGGTGCTATAAAATATACACTCATTACAGCTGCTTTTTGGAGAGCATTGTCAGTATCTATGAAAACTTTCAAGAAGTTCAAACCCTGGCCTAGTAATTCCACATCTATGCATTTAATTAAGGAAATAATCAGATACAGGAAAAAATCATCTATAAATTTATAGATAGTTACTGTCATTGATGTTTCTATCTCTCTCTCCCTCTCCCTTCCTCTCTGGAATCAATAAAAATATATGTTTTATAAAGAAAAAAAAAGAACTTCTAAATTACTGCCTCTGCCTCTGCCTCTGCCTCTGCCTCTGCCCCTCTGCCCCCTCTGCCCCTGCCCCTGCCCCGTGCACACCCTATTGTTCCTTATAGTGCCACTAGGACAGCCAGGCTCTGTATTAAATGCTGTGTGTTTTTTATAGCCTTAGGAACTTTTACAGAAAGTATAAAATGAAAACCTTTGTCAGGATAATCATTCATCTAGATAGGAGGTATTTTTCTTAATCCTGACTTGAGGAGTCCTTACAGTTTTCCCCTCTATTAACAGTGGAACGAACCATGCTAGACTTTCCCCAGCACGTCTCCTCTGACAAAGAAGTACGAGCAGCAAGCACAGAAGCGGACAAAAGACTTTCTCGCTTTGATATCGAGATGAGCATGAGAGAAGATATATTTCTGAGAATTGTTCATTTACAGGTAAATGATGTAATGAATCCCTTTAAAAGAAAAAAAAATCTATAATAAGAAAGTAAAAACCTTTGACCAGCAATAAAAAGTACTTGAATGCTTCTAGATTTTGTTTCTAATTGTTATAATAATGGGCATAGCACAGTGTTATATAATGTTATATTACACCACTTAAGTTTATGTTTAGTTGCTGATTATATTCACCTAAGATTAAAGACCAAATATAAAAGTGTGTACATCTAGCCCTAGCCAGTTTGGCTCAGTGAATAGAGTGTCGGCCTGCTGACTGAAGGGTCCCAGGTTCAATTCCCGTAGAGAGCACATGCCTGGGTTGCGGGCTTGATCCCCAGTAGGAGACGTGCAGGAGGCAGCCAATCAATGATTCTCTCTCATCATTAATGTTTCTTTCTCTCTCCCTCTCCCTTCCTCTGAAGTCAGTAAAAATATATTTTTTAAAAAGTATGACAAATTATGCCAGAACCGGTTTGGCTCAGTGGATAGAGCGTCGGCCTGCGAACTGAAAGGTCCCAGGTTCGATTCCGGCCAAGGGCATGTACCTGGGTTGCGGGCACATCCCCAGTGGGGGATGTGCAGGAGGCAGCTGATCGATGTTTCTCTCTCATCGATGTTTCTAACTCTCTATCTCTCTCCTTTCCTCTCTGTTAAAAATCAATAAAATATATAAAAAAAAAGAAAAAAAAAAGTATGACAAATTAAAAGAGTGTACATCTACAAATCTAAGGCTTCTTAGCCATCATGAACTTGATGGTTCAATGTAAAAACCTCTTTAAATTTTCAAAATATTACAAGATTTATATTAGATCAGATCAACTAGAAGCAAATGGGATTGAGTTGTTTATCTGTAAATATCATGTGCTTTTGGCCATCATATCGAAAAATGTTGATGCTGCATGCCACAGTCATTCCTGTCTGTCATCCTCACATTTTCCAGGACTCGGGGAAATTATGTATAATAAATGTTGGAGGTGAGTCTGCCATGAGTGTTTTGGTCTTTTCATAACCAGTGTTGATTTGCTTTCTAGTATTTTTATCCTCTCTTTGCTTTGAATTTTTATTTTCATGACACCTCAGCAATTTGGAAAATAGCCAATGTTTTATATAATTTTAGGCATTTTTGTTTAATTTTACATGTTTCTTTATGCAAAAATCTCAAATTTTTTTTCCCTTTTAGTAAGTTGACAGAGTTGAAATAAAACAGCAGTGTTATTTAAATAGTTGATTTGTAACTCACTACAGAATATGTAGTCATAAATTTATTTCGACATATCCTATCTAATAAAAGGATAATATGCAAGTTAACCGTCACTCTGTCATAAAGATGGTGGCGCCCATAGCCACAAGATGGCGGAACCCAATCCCCTCAGCCCCACCAGAGTCTCCCAGTCCTGGGGGCAGGGGGGCAGCCACTGTGAGCAGCCGGGGTGGGACAGTTGCTTTGTCACCATGGCGACAAGGCAAGCATCCTGCCTTGGCCGCAGAGGGCCTCTGGGCTGCACACGCGTGCGTGGAACGGCCAGGTAGGATGCTTGCGTTGTCACCATGGTGACGAGGCAAGCGTCCGGCCATGGAGAGCCTCTGGGCCGCAAAGAGCCTCTGGGCAGCGGGCGCGGAGCGGTCAGACCCCGCACAGAGCAGAGAACCATGGGGAGTGGGCCTAAGCCATCAGGGCTCCCGTATTGGAGAGAGCTTCCCTGAGGGCTCCCAGATTGGAGAGGGTGCAGGTCAGGCTGAGGGACCCACCCCCTGTGCACGAATTTTGTGCACCCGGCCTCCAGTAAGAGTATATGCTGTCTCTTCCCTCATATCAGACGAGCATTTTTCAGCCTGTTATCTATAATCTCTGTGGTTCAGAATTGCTCATATTTGGCACTATGAAAATAACATTAATTAAAAGAACTTTATGATTCTTTATTAGTTGTTCCCTTTTTTCTTTTTGACTCTAGTTATTATTCTATATGATTCAAATCATGACCTTTATAGACTATTTTTATTTCATTCCCAATAATCAAATTTCCATTCTACCTATTATTATATATGTATTTTTAAACTTTCCTCATAATTTTTAATTTTCCTTAACTATGTTTTCATCCTGACTTCTAATTTCTCATTAGGGATTTTCAAAATCTCATTTCCCTGTCCTGACAAAGGTTTCCCACTTGTTGGCTAAAAACCAGCAAAGATGAAACAAGGTTTTACAGACACTCTTTCCAGCCATAGTGGTAAGAAAAATGTACAGTGTCTTCATGTTAAAACAATCCAGAAATGCAATTTTTTATTCCAGTGGTCTGCTACGTAATAAGTACAGAAGTGGGATTCTTTAGTGAAAATAGTCAGAATTATGCAAGCTAAATTGGGAAATACAGTTATCTGATGTAATATTTATATTTTTTTAGATCTGTGGGCTTTGGTCTTGCCAATTCATCTCAGCCAATTAGTGATTTAAGCAGAAGACTTTTGACATAACAGTGTAAATGAATAGATCATGGGATTAAGTATTGTGATGTACTCTAACAGTCATGGAGACCTAGTGCCAAAATAAAATACAAGATCCCAGAACCCAAAGGTGCCTTAAAACTTGTACCTTTGTCAAGCTCTTAAAAGCCTAGGGATCCCATAGAAAGCATCAACTACCTTGCCTTAGTTTCTTCATTAGGCAGGCACCCCTCTTTTGTGCTCCCTAAGTACTTACCTCTCTTTTCATTTACTACATGCTAGACATATTTGCTGGTGTATCCTTTTTTTCTTCATACGACTTAAAGAACCTCAAGGATATTCATCTTTGCTTGCCTGGTGCCTGGTTGAATAGGAGCTCAGTGAATGCATGTTGAATGGATCTGAACTGGCCCCAGTTAAAATGTGGCTCCGTGCAGTGTGGTTCCCCACTCCCAGGGCCCTCATTCTGCCTGTGGCCCGCACAAAAGCAGTGAATCTGGTGATGGCAATTGCGTTATCAGTCAGCGAGCAGACATTTCGGCACTTCTATCCTAACTGTAAGCAGTTGCCTAAGAATGTTCTCTTCTCAATAACAGGATAGGAACCTAACAGTGTACTGATTGGGGAAAAAAAAAAAAAACCTGAAAAATTGCAAATACCAATATAACACATGTAATTAAGTCATACCTCTATGTAAGCTTTTGCAATAAGATATATGTTATCATACTCTGTTGTCTTATATTTCTTAGCATATCTGAAGTTTATGAATCAGTTTCTCTAAATAATACTCAGGGAATATACTAGCTTAATTCTCAGAGCTCTTTCTTTTAACAGCGTTGTAATTTCTACTTTGTATACACGCTGAAATAATTTTTCATTTACATATTTTAGAAACTGGAAATGTGAAGGTCTTGTGAAGAAAAGGACAAAAAGTCATGGGACAGAAAGCAGGGAGGATTTGGGGGAAATCAAGAAAATTTTTCACTTTTTTATTATGAAATTCTAAAGAATTATGAATTAAGGATGTTAATGTGGTTGTATGGCATATTGGGCAAAGTACTCAACTAAGAATTTGAAGGAGTTATTTCTACCCCCATTTTTACCACTAAATAGCTATGTGATCCTAGGATTTACCTTCAGTCTGCAAAATGAGTATACAAGATACAAACGTACGTGTAAGAGTGTGTGTGCGCGCTCGCGTTCACACTTACACAGAAGCCCTTTGCCACAGGAGGAAGTTGGGGGGGGGGGGACTAAATCTTGTCACCACAGAGATTTAAAAAGAACTCTGCTGTCATCTTACATAAATTGGAAAATTACTTCAGAGAACTTCAGCCCCCCACACCCCCTGCTCCTAAAGAAGAGAAACTTCACGCTGAAATGCCTGAGACCTGGTTCCAATCCAAGGGGATTAAGTTCTGGTCCAGGAAGGAAGGTGCAGCTGCAGCAGAGCAGCCTGGAAGTGCTGAGTCCCTCCTAGGAAGGCCTTGGGCGGTAATTCCGACCTTGCCTGGCCGAGTGTAAGGGAGAATACTATGATCCTCTCTGGGACAGGAATGTGCGTTAGAAGCACATTTTAGAAGTGCCTTACTCTTACCAGAGACCTCCGGAGATTTCCCAGGACCTCAGCATCTGACTGGCAAAGGGCGTCTGGTTACAATTGAGGCCGATTTTTGTTGTGTCATTTTTGTGGCTAGTCACATATCTCGGTAATGGTCATATTTTAATTAGACCTACTTCAGGGCTGGTTTTTTTCAGAATATCCTTCCACCTGTTTATATATACTTGTATTACCTATTTGGAGAGTAAGTAGTCTTACCTAACGTAGACCATGAAGTTGGAGTAGACTATGCTGACTATACTTCCGGGCTTTCTGAAGTAGCAGCTCAGCTATGGCAAATGCTACTGAAATAATTTCTCATTGGCATATATGAAGAAAAGGAAAAAAGGTCATGGGACGGAAGGTGGGGAGGATTTGGGGGAAATTCAGAAAATGTTTCACTTTTTTATTATGAAATTCTAAAGAATTTAGAATAAATTAAGAATGGTAATGTCTGAGAGCCATCCTGAGTGTAGAATAATTCTGTTTACACCAGCCGGTGAGACTGAGATGAGCCTCTGTGCTGACCTCGGGACTGAATGTACCCAGTGAACCCTGGGAACCAAGTACCCACACTGCTGTCCAGCTCTGGGCTGGCTTCTGTCTTGACTCACTGCCCTGCTGGGAAGGCTCCCTGCCCTGCTGGGAAGGCTCCCTGCTCTGGATCTCCACCTGCTCACTTGGGTCCTTCAACTTACCCAGCTCTTGCCAGGCCCTTATCAACAGGGATTTTTTTCCCTCTCCCCCCACTACACATAGCTACAGCCTATGTTCTCCCCAACCTTTCAACATCCACCACTGTACCGTCTAGAGACTCCTGTTGCCATGCCTCACACCTCAGGACAGACTTCCTGGCGCGGTCAAGCCAGCCTCGATCAACTCAGGTGAATCATCACATCCGCACGAACACTGTGATTTGAGCTGCTAGCCATCCCCAAGGGAACCAGCCACAGCGCAGTTATCTCCCTGGCCATTCTGGGTGTCTTCCCATTGCAGACACCTGCTGCTGAGATCCCAGTGTGTGCCAGTACCAGCTAGAGAGGGTTCCAACTCCGGTCATGCCTGCATGCTCAGAAATGCTCTAAGGACAGAAAGGAGGTTATTATGGAAAAATGAGTAATTGTTCTCTGCCTCCACTGAGGATTAAGTCAGAGGAAACTGTGAGTAATGTATGCACAACAGGTGCTTTACTACTGTGACATAATATTTTTTATCGGGAGGCAAGGTGAGATACAGATTGTTTTATTAAGTAGCACCCTCAGAGTACAACTCTACTTACCTGCTACAACAAAATGTAAAAAAATTACAGAATTATTGCAGCAAAAGCCTTGCACCAACGATATAAAACGCAGGCTCTAAAGCAAAGATCTAATTGGGCCTTTTTAAGATCTAATTAGTTGGGGAATACAAAACTCAGGGATGGACAGTCCAGGTCTTCCATGGAGAGAGAGTGCAACCAATGGCAGGGTCCTAATGCTGAGAGGTCTCTAAGGCTCTAGAGACAAAGTCCCTCATTGCCTCTCAACCAAACTGAATCTACTACTCCTCTGTCTGGAGTCCATTTCCTCCGAGGGACCACAAACTGACCAGCCTTCCAGATGTGCCCTGTATATTTCACCACCTGTTTTGAGTAAATACCTTGCTATGGCTCATCCTCCAGGGCCCTTCGTTCCTTTGAGTGAGTGCCGTTTGTGTTGCTGCTGGCAGGTTGAAATGCGCTGTCCAGTGTTCCTCCTGTGTGCTGTGCGGACTCCTTTTCCCCACGTATTTGTTCATGCGCAGCTTGCTGCAGCCCCCTGATCTCTCTTGCTAAATGACAGTAAGGCATTTTTAAAGTGCTAGAAGCCTTTATCCAGCTGTACTTTTTTGGTATGTTGGCCAAAGAGTCCCACTCTCCACTATGTATTATTTGCCCTTTATATTTATGCTTGCCTCTCAAGTGGAACCAGGTTAGCAAATGATAGAAAATTAAATCCAGATGATTTGTGATAAGGAATGTGTTTTGTGAGAAAGACCACTGGGTCATCGAGAATACTGAGAAGGCGATTATGCAAATGCTTCTATGATCACACTCTCAAATGGTACAGGCACTCTTGATTGTGATGCAAGGCAGGGCAATTCTGGTTAGCTTTTTGTTTATTTAATTTTTCTGTTTTAGATGAGCAGAGGCTCATGAAAGCATAAAAGAAATTAGGTCTTCAAAAGGGCCTGAATCACCTTTGTGCTACATAGCTCAACAGAGATGATGAATGAATTTGCTCTGGCCTCTAGTTTATAATTTACTGACACTGCTGTAACAGAATGGTTGTCACAATCTTTAATTTCAGGAAACCTGTGATCTGGGGAAGATAAAGCCTGAAGCCAGGCGATACTTGGAAAAGTCAGTTAAAATGGGGAAAAGAAATGGGCTCCATCTTCCAGAACAAGTCCAAAATGTGAGTTTGTTTCCTTTTCTTTGTGGGGAAAAAAAGAGAGTAAATAAAAAAAAATGCAACAAACAAACAGGAAATAAGGAAAGACATGTTTTTAATGTAGGAAATAATGCATAATAGAAATCCATTTACAATATATTGGATAGTCAGTGGTTTCAAATTCCACAACTCCTACCCACCTCTTGGTGACTGACAAACAGCTGGTAACTTAATTTTTCTTTAACCCTGTCCAAGTTTTATTTATTTCATGTGTGCTGGGCTTATTTTCTCTGCTCTATCTTACCTTCTCTAATACCTAGTTCCAGGCCTTAATAGTTGACTTGTGTTTTTATTCCTTTGTTCTTGCAGAGATAGGGCACTGGTAATAAAATCCTTACGATGGGAAATTATAAAACCAGCACTTTAAAATGGAATACCCTGCGATTACTATATACCCCTTAAAGGTGGACAGATCAGCTGCTAAAAAATGCTTCTAAACTTTTTCTTTTGTCTAATGCCAATCAAATCTTACAGTTTCAGAAATGAACTCGACGGTAGAATTAATTCATTCTTTGGAAAAGGAAAAATGATTTATTTCCAGGTGATTCTTCTAGGCCCGTGGTCGGCAAACTGCGGCTCACGAGCCAAATGCGGCTCTTTGGCCCCTTGAGTGTGGCTCTTCCTAAGCCTTAGGAGTACTTTAATTAAGTTAATAACAATGTACCTACCTATATAGTTTAAGTTTAAAAAATTTGGCTCTCAAAAGAAATTTCAATCGTTGTACTGTTGATATTTGGCTCTGTTTACTAATGAGTTTGCCGACCACTGTTCTAGGCAGTAGAACTTGAAACTAGTTTGAAAGGAGTGTAGACCATGTGATGTCAGCATGGCAGATAGACCTGAAGGCACCACTGAGGTACGGGCACCTTTCTCCCACCTGAATGCCCTTTGAACACCTTGATCCTCTTCATCCTGGTTACAGGAAAAGTGGGACTGATCTCACTTATCAGACTTGTCCTGGTCAATCATCAGTTCTGTTTGGGGCATGAACACTGTGTTAGTTAAAATGTGTTTGGTTGCAGCTAACAAAACCCTGTTGGAACAATTTAAATAATAGAAGAGATTTACTTGCTTATATAGCAGGAAGGTCCAGAGGTAGTCGAGCTTCATGGGTTAGTCTGATCCAGATGCTCAGTGGTGTCATTGGCCACCTGATTTTTCTATTCCTGTACTCTGTCTTCACAGTTAGTGCTATGCAAAGGTGGCTCCTTTTATTTCTAAAACTAGAGGCCCGGTGCACGAAAATTCATGCACTTGGGGGGTGGGGTGTCCCTCAGCCTGGCATGGCCCTCTCACAGTCCGGGAGCCCTCAGGGGAGCAGGCCTAAGCCGCAGTCTGGCCTCCCTCTGCAGGAGGTGACCGGGTGGGCCAATCAGGGGACTGGCGCAGGTGGCGAGCAGCAGGCTCCACCCCCCATTGCGCCACTGCCACCTGTGGCCTCCCTCTGCAGGAGGCAATCCTGGCGGGCCAATCTGGGGATGGCGAGCGGTGGGCCCCACCCTGTATCGGCCCGCCACCATGGGCAGTGGCTTCCCTCTGCAAGAAGGCCTGTGGGAGGCGACCCTGGACTGATGGGGGAAGGCGCCAGGCAGCCCCGCCCCGAATCACCCCGCCGCCCGTGGCCTCCCTCTGTGGGAGGCCACCAGGCAGGCAATCGGGATGGCGTTGCTCCATCACCCCACCTCTGGTCGCTGCCACCCCCTACCCCACCCGTCCCCTCCCTCTGCCCGCTGGCACGCACTTTGGCTGGCCTGGCACCACCTGCTCACCGGCCCTGCCCCCCACCGACCCACTGTTCCACCAATCGGTCAGTTTGCATATTATACCTTTATTATATAGGATGACTACAAATCTAAAGACCCCACCATCTAGAAGTACACAGAGAAGCCTCCATCAAACCTCTCCTCATGTCTTAAAGGCCCAAACTGGATCATCTGCCTGATCCTGAATCCCCCATTAGTTGAGCGAATGCCAGACCTGGGTTACCTGAACCAGTCACTAGTGCAGTGCAGATGGGATTACATAACCATGCAGAGATCACACCCCTGGAACTTCAGATTAAATTAGATCTGACTCAAACTCCATGACTGCTATGGCATATGGAGGAAGTGGAGGGAACTGGGGACACAGCCAGAATGTCCAAAAATGGCTGTATGTGTCAAATTTAGTGTTCATCAGAATTACTTGGAGGGCTTGTTAAAACTCTGAATGCAGGAACCCACCTCTGAGAGTTTGTGTTTCCGTAGATTTGGTGTGGGTCTCAAAAATACGCATTTCTAACAAATTCCCAGGTGATGTTGATGCTTTTGGTCAGGGCCACGCATGGAGAACCAGTGTGGTTTACATAAACTTCATTATCTAGCATTTCCGGAAAAGTGGGACAGATTAATAAAATTATTTCATGTTTTTTCTTGTGGTTCCCTTCATATTGCTTCCTTTGATCTCCCACCTAATACTTTCTAGACAAATGTTAGGGCTCATAAATTGCATTTGTTTGCAAATGCTCTATAAAACTAGGACGTACTCATGGACACAACTTAGAAGAGAGCAGACAACTGTGTAATCAAGTACATCTCCAAGATGGGACTTCCTAAGGGTTGGGTACAGAATTCAGACTTTATCTAACAGTAAAATTTACTTGACTGACGGTGATACAAAGAAACCGTTCATTTTATTGTTAATGTCCTGTATTTGTGCCTTTGTTTCAGGAAATCAAAGCAATGAAGAAAAAAATGAGTGAGCTGTGCATTGACTTCAACAAAAACCTCAATGAGGATGATACCTTCCTTATATTTTCCAAGGCTGAACTTGGTAAAATTTTGTTATTTTTCTAAATGAAATTATGTAATTTAGGCAGATGATGTCACCTCACAATTTGGCAGGTCAAAGTTAAAAGAATTCTTTAAAAAATGATCCACTCTCTTCTATAGAACCCACCATCTTTTCTACAGAAAAGACCAACAAGCCATTTTTAGATTATAGGCTAATGAGAGTGTATACTGTTTCTGGAGACAGTCCTGAGAAGATTTCGTAATCTTTCTTGGTTAACAGCCTTCAGTGCCTTGAAAAATTTTTTGCCCCACAACGTTCCCTACATTATAACTTAAACTAGTCTCTTCTTATTCTGTTCTGGATCTTGCTTGGTTAAATTTTCCTGTTCTCCATCAAACCAGCACTGAAGCCTGTGCATATTTTGGATTAGCATCTCCTGAGACACCTGTTCTCTAACCACCACCCACATGAGATTATAAGAATTGTCATCATTTTACTTGAATTTTAATTACTCCGCAAAATTCCTCGAGTTCTTAATGGCACCATGCCAATGCTAAATTAATCAATAATGAGTGGAAAACTTGATGTATGAGAGAATTTCTTGCAGGTGCTCTTCCTGATGATTTCATTGATAGTTTAGAAAAGACAGATGATGACAAGTACAAAATTACCTTAAAATATCCACACTATTTTCCTGTCATGAAGAAATGTTGTATCCCAGAAACCAGAAGGAAGATGGAAATGGCTTTTAATACAAGGTGCAAAGAGGTACTTATAAATGTTTGTCTTTGTTTGTTTATTTGTTGTTACGGAGGACTTTAAGAAAAGGGTTTGCTTTGTTAACCAATGTTGAAGTCAGCTCTGAGACTAATATTCCTATTTGTGAGCATTATGCTTCCTAATTCCTCAGACCTAGAATTTTAGCTTTTTCCTTGCCCATTGACAACCTCCCTTGTCTGGCCACAGGTTAAACTATTCTAATGAAAATAGAATGGATTAAATAAACTAAAAGTTGTATTCTTCTCCCAAGTCAATAGTCCAGGGCTAGTGGGGCATCTCTCTCTCTCTCCCCTCAATAAGTGACTTCCAAGGGCATTTCAGTTGTCATCTTCCCAATCTGTTGGAAAGAAGGAAAATAAAGTACAGTGAAAGTATCTTTAAGAAAAAGACCTAGAGCCCAGCCATTGTGACTCAGTGGTTGAGCGTCGACCTATGAACCAGGAGGTCACAGTTCAATTCCTGGTCAGAGCACATGCCCGGGTTGCAGGCTCCATCCCCAATGTGAGGCATGTAGGAGGCAGCCAATCAATAATTCTCTCTCATCATTGATGTTTCTATCTCTTGCTCTCTCTTCCCCTCTGAAATCAATAAAAATATATTAAAAAAAGAAAAGGACCTAAAAATGACATATATCAGTTGCACATTGCATTGACCCAAATTCCATTATATAGCTACTAGAGGCCCAGTGCACGGATTTGTGCACATTGAAAGGAAATTAATTAGAAGGTGGCCAGTGGGGCGGGACTGAGCAAGATGGGTTAGACATGCCCTGGAGCCAACCTCCCTAGGTCCCTCCTCCACCAGCCGCACCTGGGCGGCGCCAAGGCTCAAAGTGCATTTGCGCAAGGAGCAGGATCCCTCCGGCAGGTAGGGTTCCTCGGCCTGGCCTTCAGGTATCGGGCCAAAACCAGCAGTCTGACATCCCCTGTGGGGTCCTGGAGTGCAAGAGGACACTCTGCAAAGTTGCTGTCACTCAGCAGCTCCTGCATTGAGTGTCTGCCCCCGGTGGTCAGTATACTGGGCAGTTGGCTGGTTGCTTAGCCTTTTATATATATAGATATCTAGTTATAAGAGAGGCTAGGAAATATAGTCTTCAGTTGGTAGCCAAGTGTTCAGCTGAGTGGATTCTATTACTAAAAGGAAGAATTAGAAATGGATTTTAAGAGTCAGCTGGCCAGTTGCACCACAGTCTATCCAAGTGACATGAGCACATTTCCCCCATTCACCACGTGTCAGATCCCGACCAGTTATTGCCTTGAGCTCAAAGACTAAGCTCTCTCCGTGATAGACAGTCCTCCCCAGTTGTAGCTTCTCATGATGTAGCAGCCAATGAAAAGGAAGACAACTTGTCTGGCCCACTCACCCAACACACACACCCAGTGGTAGAATAGGAACAGAATAACCACAATAAAAAAACTCCCACTTGGAGTAGGAGAGAATGGGATACATAGCAGGCCTTCCAACGTTCAAAAACAGTTTGGCAGGAATTATAAGGATTCTGAGTCTGGGAAGTTCCTGGGATAGCCCATTGGACTTATTTTGGGTCTCTTTTCAGGCAGGGATTCCTTTAACAATTATATCCGTGGCCTCTGGTTTTACCTGCAGGGAATTCTTTATTGTTCATTACCCCCCACAACCACATTGTGGGCGGCTGCTAGCATAGCTTCCTGCCGATACCAGCTCAAAGCCCGAGAGTTGCTTTAAAAATCAAATAATCATAAGCTTTTGTAGGCCAGGCTTCTATCTTTGGTAATAAAATCCAATAAAAAACGTAATATTGCTTCCAATCAGATTCATGTTAAAAAATAGCTATACATGTCCTGGCTGGTTTTCTCAGTGGTTAGAGGTTTTCTCAGTGGTTAGAGCATCGGACCAAAGGGTCTCGGGTTCAATTCCCAGTGAAGGGCACGGTACCTCAGTTTCAGGTTCGGGAAGCAACCAATCAATATGTCTCTCTCACATCAATGTTTCTCGCTCTCTCTCTCCTCCCTTCTGTTCCCTCCCTTCCACTCTGTCTGAAAATCAATGGAAAAAAATATACTCGAGTGAAGATTTAAAATAATAATAAATAACTATGACTTTTCTTAAACCTACCAAATCTTTTCTAATATATGGGTTCCTGTATCATGTCCCTCCTGCTCTTCCTCAATTTAATGGTGCCCGTTTCAGTGCTGAAATGGCAGACCTGAGCAGGGAGACAGCCTTCTCAACCAAGACTCCACAGTTCAATAACTCCAAGTCTTTGCTCCTGACATTAGGATGCAGGGGAACTGGCTTTTCCAGCAACTAGAGGCCCTAGATCAGCCGTGGGCAAACTACGGCCCGCGGGCCAGATCCGGCCCGTTTGAAATGAATAAAACTAAAAAAAAAAAAAAGACCGTACCCTTTTATGTAATGATGTTTACTTTGAATTTATATTAGTTCACACAAACACTCCATCCATGCTTTTGTTCCGGCCCTCCGGTCCAGTTTAAGAACCCATTGTGGCCCTCGAGTCAAAAAGTTTGCCCACCCCTCCCCTAGATTGTGGGCCACAGGCAGAACCTCTCTCGCAAATCTCTTTTCCTTCCATCTTGCAAACTGACCAATTCTCACTTAAGCACATCTTTCTCATGTAATTTCCATAAAAGCAACAAATACCAGCAAACACACAACAACGTTATTAGTTTTCCCAAACAATTCCCCTCTCTAAGACTCAGTAGGTAATTGGCCTACCTTCCAAATTACAGCAAGCAACAGTTTTAACAAATGGGACCTCTGGTGTAATGAGGAATGCCAGCTTCCCAGCCTGCGGTGTCTGTGTCCTCATCCTCACCTTCCACTCCTGTACATTTTTTCATTTTTGTTTTAGCAGCACTCTATTCCTAATATCAGTCCTCGGGATATTAGGGTATAGTTTAAGCAACTGTACAAGAGTCCAGCAAAAGCACAGAGACTCAAATAAAAGTGATTTCTCTTCAGAAAGCATTAATGGTTACCGGGGCTGGGGAGACTGGGGAGTTATTTCTTAATGGTTACCAAGTTTCTCTGTGGGGTATTGGGAAAGTTTTGGAAACAGATAATGGTAATGGCTGCACAGCAGTCTGAATGGAATTAGTGCCACTGAATTATACACTTAAAAATGGTTAAAATGGCATATTTTATGTTACATATTTGACCACATTTTTTAAAAAAGGTTTATTTCTCTTAAAACTAACAGTACAGAGGTGAGTGGTCCAGAGCTGGAGGACAGCTCTGCCATCCTCAGTATGTGGCTTTCAGGGTCATTGTTGCGGTCTTCAGTTCACAGCTAGCAAGACAAGCATCTACAAAGAGATGACCCAGAAACTTCAATCATCACCTCATTCATATTCCACTGTCCTACAACCAGCTCTAAGGAAGTCTGGGAAAAGTAGTCAGGTGACCTATGTGTCTGGCAAAAACTCAGAGAATTCTAGTACTAGGACAGTGATGGCGAACCTTTTGAGCTCGGCGTGTCAGCATTTTGAAAAACCCTAACTTTGGTGCCGTGTCACATATAGAAATTTTTTGATATTTGCAACCATAGTAAAACAAAGATTTATATTTTTGATATTTATTTTATATATTTAAATGCCATTTAACAAAGAAAAATCAACCAAAAAAATGAGTTCGCGTGTCATAGGTTCGCCATCACTGCACTAGGAGGAAGAGGGGGGGAATAGATATTGGGAAGAAATTGGCAGTCTTAATTTTAGAACTTGGAGAATTGTGCCATGTGTTTCTCTTATTGATGTTTCCATTCCAATTTTAAAATAATGGGAATTTAACATAATTATATAGTATTGGCTCTTGTACCAGGCACTTTTCTGTATACTTCACATATATTTTCATTAGGCTCTTCATTGCACCCTATGACTTAGCTGCTTTCATTATATGTATTTATATGTGTTTTAACAGATAAGAGAACTGAGGCTTAGAAAGTAACGTAAGGGACTTGTCAACAGTCAGACAACTAGTAAATGGTGGAGCGAAATTTGGAATCTAGATAGACTACTGTGGCGTGTGATCTTCCTTAGAAGCACGTCTATTAAAAAATTGCTGATTAATCATTGGGAGTAGTAGTTCTTTGACTTCAATGTCTATTTACTTTTTCTTTTATTGTTTAAAAATGTTATGCTAAGTGAAGTAAGCCAGGCACAAAAGGACAAATATTGTATGATTCCACTTACATGAGGTTCCTAGGGTAGTCAAATTCATAGAGACAAAAAGTAGAATGATGGATGCCAGGGGCTGGGGGTATGGGGAATGGGGATTAGGATTTAATAGATTCAAAGTTTCAGTTGGGAAAGATGTAAAAGCCTGGAGATAAGACTATCATTATTTGTATTCTTAATACAAATATAATAGAGAAAATGTTTGTAATAATTTGAGAAAAATCCCTGAAATATTTTTAAGTGTAGAGTTCTGTGGCATTAAATATATTCACGATGTTGTGCAACCATCACCACCATACGCCCTCAAGTTTTATCCATGTTTTAGCATGTGTCAAAAGCTCTTTTTAAGGCTGAATCATATTTTATTATATGTATACACCACATTTTCCTTATCCATTTATCCATTGCTGGACACTTGGGTTGCTTCCACCAATTGGCTGTTATTCACATAATGCTGTAGTGAACATGGTGGGACAAATATCTGTTTGAGTCCTTGTTTCCACTTTTTTGGGATCTATGCCCACAAGTGGAATTGCTGGAACATATGGTAATTCTCTGTTTAAATTTTTTTTGAGGAATCCCAGTACTGTTTTCCACAGCAGCTGCACCTTGATTCCCATCAGTAATGCACAAAGATTCCAAATTTTCCTCATCCTCATCAACACTTATTATTTTCTGGTGGGTTTTTTTTTAATAGCCAGACTATCATTAAAAAATAGGCTATTAGTATGGCTATTATAATGAAGTTAAAGAGGCAAATTTTGTGTTACATATATGCTACCACAGTGAAAAAACACTGTAGGTACCAATATGTGGTAGAGTCTTGTCAGTGAGACTAAATGTGGCTTCACTCTAGTCCTTAAGAATACATTTTCACTCTAAGTTTGCAGTACCTGAAATTTTATTAAGACCTCATAACTAAAAACAAACAAACAAACAAAAAAACCAACAACCTCATAACTATCTCCTGAGGTTGAAAAAGTCCGTTAACTCAGAAATACAGTTGGATCGGGAATTTTAAAAAAACTCTAACACTGAAATGAAATAATTTATTAGAAGTTGAGATGGTCTAAAAATATTTGACAGTTTTACCAACCTGAAAATAAATATAATAACTCTTTCAGTGCTTTGGATCCAATTAATTATTTTTATCCAGTTAATTATTAATGTTTGTTTTTGTTGTTATTGTTTATTACTAGGAAAACACCAAAATTCTACAGCAGCTGCTCCCACTGCGGGCCAAAGTCGCCAAGCTACTCGGCTATAGCACACATGCTGACTTTGTCCTTGAAATGAACACTGCCAAGAGCACAAGCCGTGTAACAGCCTTCCTAGGTTGGGTCTCTTTAACTTACTTATTAGTTCTGTAATTCCATTTCTGTGACTGTTTTGCTGCATGATACCCACTTGACAGAGAGCCCTTAGACTCTAATATGCTTTTGAGGACATTCTATTTTGTATTCATTCAAGAGAAACTTATTGATCACCTACTATATATTAGTTACTGTGCTTGGTTCTAAGGGTTGCCCGTTGTTTATATTACTAAGGTAGTCCTTGCTTCATTCTGTATTGTGTCTTGATTGGGATTTTTATACTAATGTCTAACAAAACATCTAGGGTCCTAACAGCAAGTATTAGCTTATTGGCTTTGTTTGCTGCTATTTGGTGATTGTAGTTATAGTGTAGCTAATTATGAGTTTATATGAAATAAGCTGACAAATGTGACATAAATAGAACATTATGATCCAAAAAAAAAAATAAACATTTTATATTCTAGAAGCCACTTACTATATACAAAAGCAATATAAATATGCATCAAAACTATTATCTAATAACTATATTCACATTTATTTAAAACCACTTTCACTAAACTTTTTAAAATCATGGTTCTTATGTCCATGATATTGAGTCACTGGTACTCTATCACTCTTGCCCATCTCTATCTCAACCAAGGTGTCACTACTCCAAGAGTCACTCTGTTTATCTCTCTCATTGTAGTGAAAGTGGTTGAATAACAACCAAGGTATAAACACTGATTTTTATTGTAATCTTTTCTAACAATAAAAATCAGTGTTTATACCTTTTTAACTTTCCTCATTGACCCGTTTCAGACTTTATTCACCTTTAACAACTAGTCAAAGTATGTAGTCTGTTACTTTGGTATTTTTTTATTAGCTTAATTGAGTTAGAAATTACTAATAATGCCTTAAAATAATCTTTCAGCCCAAGATTTACTTCTCTATGTCCTAAATGACCATACCTGGTGTTACTAATGTATGTGCTGGCATCAGATATGACTTGTAGCAGATGCACCATAAATGGTAGTTATTTGTTATTATATAATTGAGTTATTCATTCGTGAGACATTTAGGAAATCACTGTTCTGCATTAGGCAGTATTCTAAATGGTAAACCATAAAAAGGAATAAAACGAGGTCCTTTTCTCAGTGAGTTTTCCCTGAGTGGAAATAACAGAGATGTGAACAGGTAATTGCCATATATTCTGATTCATGTTGTACAGAAAATGACTCAAGGAGTTAACAATTTTGATGAAAATGTTTTCTTTAGTTGTAACTGCATACACTGAAAAATTTCCTTAAGAACTACCTGATTAACTTAATTTCTTTAAAGTCGTTTCCCTCTCATCTGAAATTGGCATATGTCCATCTGGGTTGTCCTCTTGCTACCTGTACTTTCATATTCTCTGGCAGGCCCACTCAGAATTATCTCTTGCATCTTCTAGGTGTTTCCTTCTTTCTCTTCACCTCATTCCTCAGGCTCTTGTCTTCACCTCATAATTTCCATGTCCCTTACAGAGCCAAACACATGTTTATCTTATATATGTAACAGATTGTGAGGAATTAATACATAATAAGAGCATATTCATTGAGCCAAATACAGTAAAATAGTCCAAAATAGACCACTGTATATAAATTGTGGTATCCATCTAAAAAGTGGAATTACTGTGTCCAACTAGTCCTTCATAGGAATTGGGTAGTGAAACATACTAAACCCATGGCCATCAAAGGCATTGAGCAATTTTTGGTAATACTAGTCACAGGTTACATTTGATTTATTTTCCCTGCCTTTCTGAGAAGCCTAATCTTCTTGAAGAATAATCATGTATATGAGTTTAGTTTCACTATTCCTTTTTCCCCTGAATTAGAAAATTTTTGAGTCAGAGTTCCCTGAGATAAACTTCAGTTTTGTGGATGCCATGAGGAAGTCATGGCCTAGTTTGGGTGGTGCTAAAAGAAAAAGGGGTGAGGAGACATAAAATAAATTACCTTAAAGAGAACAACAGTGCTGTCATAATAGAGTCTGCTTTCTTTTCCTTCCCTTCCTCACTCCCACTCTCCCTCTATAGAAAGCACCATGCTGAAGCACAGGTGTGTATGAACATGCTTGCTCCTAAGAGCAATAGATCATTGACTTTTCCCCCTTCCCTCACAGATGATTTAAGCCAGAAATTAAAACCTTTGGGTGAGGCAGAACGAGAATTTATTTTGAATTTGAAGAAAAAGGAATGTGAGGAAAGAGGTTTTGAATATGATGGGAAAATCAATGCCTGGGATCTGCATTACTACATGACTCAGACAGAAGAACTCAAGTACTCCATAGACCAAGAGATCCTCAAGGAATACTTCCCAATTGAGGTGGTCACCGAAGGCTTGCTCAACATATACCAGGAGTTGTTGGGACTCTCATTCGAGCAAGTGGCAGGTGCTCATGTGTGGAATAAAAATGTTACACTCTACACTGTGAAGGACAAAGCCACAGGAGAAGTATTGGGACAGTTCTACTTGGACCTCTATCCAAGGTACTGATGACCATATTGTTGGAAGAGACTTTAGGGATTCAACTCCTATCCAGATTATCACTCTTGTCTTCCATAGATGTCTTGTGTGGTTTTAGTAAAGGGAATAAAGATGTGGGCTCTGAAGCCAGAAGGTCTGGCTCCATTCCTTGATAGACAGGTTCTTAATGTTTCTGTGCCTCAGTTTCGTAACCAATATTACAGGGCCTATAAAATGGGAATACTAATCCAGGTTTGTTTTTTTTAAGTTGCTTGAAGTTTCCTTCCTCTCTCTCCTTGGGGGCACCTGTCTTAGATTGTATGTTAGTTGATTGCCATTCAACTTCTGCTTTCTGAAGGATTCAAGAAAAGGTGTGATTTGCAGATTGTCCAGCATGTTATTGTTGTAAGGATAGAAGCAGTAAATGCCCTTTCCAGCAATAAATGCCCTTTATACATTATAACAGGTAGCTGGAAAAAGATAAGTGTGTGTTTTTTAAAACCTCAATAGCATCAGCAGAAAAAAGCCCAAGAGGAATGAGTCACCAAGAAAAGTTAATATAGAAAAATACATACAAATAAAATTAAAAATGTCACCCAAACCTGAAAGTCCTGTTAGCCTCCTAGCAAAAAAAGAAAAAGAAAAGGAGGAGGAGGGGAGGGAGGGGAGGGGGAGGAGGGAGGGAAAAGGGGGAGGAGGAGAAAAAACCTGGTCCTAGAATAAGTCTAATAGCCATTAGCTTTTGGAGAGACCCTCACTGATACCTCATTGTCTAAGAATAGTCAACTTTATAGTATAATTCATGCTTTTCCCCAGGCTAACGAAAAGCATTCTATTTCAAAAAGACCTGTGAAGTTTATCAAGGGAGCTCATTTAATTGTGAACACTGATTCTTCCTTCCCTCCTTGAATAAAACGAACAATCTTACTGTATGGAATTCGGTTTTTATCAATTCTATTTTTAAAGGAAAACTACCTCATAAATCAAATTGTACCTTGTAGCTCAGATTTCTTCAACACTATTTAGTGTTTAATGACTCCATTTTTTATTGCATTTATTGGGGTGACATTGGTTAATAAATTGTGGCTCCATCTTCGAAGATGAAAAGCAGGAGCTCATTAAAATAAGTTTGACATGTAATGGGGTGGTGAACACACAATACAATATACAGATGATGTGTTATAGAATTGTTCGCCTGAAACCTATATAATTTTATTAACCAATGTCACCCCAATAAATTCCATAAAATAAGCAAACAAATAAAATAAGTTGGACATTCAGCCATACACTAGGTGTGGTATATATTCTTAGTTCTGATATTAAGATTTTTCAACAAAAGAAACCTTGGAGTAATAACTCATATGATGTGATAGTTGGGTTTTTGTATGTTTAGTTTTAGTCTTTCCATTTGAATACAATGTTGATCTACTTTCTAAAAGGTGAATTAAATGTTTTGAAGCATCTTCTACCAAATATGTATCAAATATGACTTAATGACTGAGAGAGGCCAGGGCAATCTTGTTCGAGAAGGGTGTTCATCTCTCATAGATTGCGCTTCTGGTTCCCAGGGAAGGGAAGTACAACCATGCAGCGTGCTTTGGTCTCCAGCCTGGCTGCCTCCTCCCCGACGGGAGCCGCATGATGTCGGTGGCAGCCCTTGTGGTGAACTTCTCACAGCCCCTCGCAGGTCGTCCCTCTCTCCTGAGGCACGACGAGGTGAGGACTTACTTCCATGAATTCGGTCATGTCATGCATCAGATTTGTGCCCAGGTGAGTGCCAAATGCTTTTTCAGATGTTTTTTCTCACTGCAGTTGGGTTTCTCCCCTTAACATGGTTTTTCAGAAGCTGAACGTGTTCAAGAATTTCTCAGGCCTCTTGCAAAAATACAAAATTTTTCTGATGGGGTCTGTTTCACAGCATATTTTTACTTGGAGGTGGATTCACTGATGAAAGCGTTCCCTGAATACCAGATACTCTGCTTGTGGTTTTCAACCATCTCAAACTCTTTGCTCCTTTTCAAATAATAAATATTTTGTAATACCTTTCTTTACTAGCCTCAAATTAAAATCATAGATCATGTAGTATAACCATGGGGAGACTTTGCCAGAGAGGGGATGTGTGTGTTTGTGTGTGTGTGTGTGTGATGGATTGCAACTGACTTTTCTTTCTTTCTAAAAATGAAAATTACCCTTATTTTCAACGTGATGCAGTCCATTAAACTAGGCCAATACTGTCCTAGAATAAACCAATATGAACTTGCTGATAATTTCACTGTTATTGACATATGAAAACATCTAGTTCAGTTGTTCAATCTAACAGTTTAAAAAGCTGATGTTGCCGGAACCGGTTTGGCTCAGTGGATAGAGCGTCGGCCTGCGAACTGAAAGGTCCCAGGTTCGATTCCGGTCAAGGGCATGTACCTTGGTTGCAGGCACATCCCCAGTGGGGGGTGTGCAGGAGGCAGCTGATCGATGTTTCTCTCCATCGATGTTTCTAACTCTCTATCTCTCTCCCTTCTTCTCTGTAAAAAATCAATAAAATATATTAAAAAAATAAATAAATAAAAAAATAAAAAGCTGATGTTGGAGCATTTGATATCTTTCTTCCCAGCATAAGTTTTCAGTTTGGCTCAAATAAACTCATAAAATAACATAAAAAACAGATGTTAACAGAAATGGAGGGACAGTTTTCCAATTTGAAATCTCTATATAGCTCTAAAGGAAAACTTTTAAAATATATATATATATACACATATATTTGAACATAATAAAAGTTCATTATTAGGGACTTATATATGTGTGTGGGGGACACATATATATTATTGATTTTAGAGAGGAAGGGAGAGGGAGAGAGATAGAAACATAAATGATGAGAGAGAATCATTGATCGGCTGCCTCCTACACGACCCCCAGTGAGGATCGAGCCCACAACCCAGGCATATGCCCTGATGGGATTGAACCATGATCTCCAGGTTCACAGGTTGATGCAAAACCACTGAGCCACACCAGCCAGGCTCTAAAGGAAAACTTTTAAAAATAATCTCTTTATAAGAATAGTTTTAGATCTATAGAAAAGTTGCAAAGATGGTACAGAAATTGCCCAAGTGCCCTTTACCCTGATTCTCCTACTCTTAACATCTTACCTTACTATATAGTACATGTGTCACAACCAGGAAGCCAACATTGATACATCACGCTTAACTAAACTCCACACTTTATTTGGATTTTACTAGTTTTTCCCTAACAGCCTTTCTCCATACAGAGAATTTTTATAATTGATGTAATGTCCTCAGTAAAAGAAAGATTTTTTAAATGGCTTTTAAATGGTAATGCCTTAGCATGGCTATGTACTAAGACATACTGAAGTATTCATGGGTTTGCGCTATATGTGAATAACCCTGAATCCAACAGCAAAAACTGCAGATTGACCTAAGGGGTTTGTGTTGTCAGCTGGAGTCAAAAAATGGTATTGCCATTGTCTTAGTTCATGTTGCTATAACAATACCATAAACCAGGTAGCTTATAAACAACAGAAATTTCTTATACTTCTGAAGTCTGAAAGTCCCAAGATCAAGATGTCTGGTTCATAGATGGTGCCTTCTCACTGTGTCCTCACATGGTGGAAAGGGTGAGGATCTCCGTGGGCCTCCTTTATAAAGACACTAGTCTAGTGCATGAGGATTCCACCTTCATGAACTACTCACCTCCCAAAAGCCCCACCTACTATCATCGCATTGAGGGTTAGGTTTCAGCATATTGATTTGGGGAGGGAACAAACATTCAGCCCGTAGCACCAAAGGTGACATGATTTCCCAAAACGGTGAACACCTCTTAGGAAAATTCCAAATGAAAAAGAAGTCTTACTTTGATTTACAGAGTTGATCCCAGTAGTTGGTGCTTTGGAAATTAAAATTGTATAAAAAGGACTTTGCAAAAATATGTGCAATGGAGTTAGTTTCTAGGTTCTTCATTGTAGATTTTTCATTTATTTGAATTCCAGCAAGAAATATAAGACATGCAGAATAAGGGACATTGTGGTCCTGACATGTGCAGTAACCCACAGAGGAGCCCCAAATTATTGCAAGAACCAAAAATGTAGCTACTCATTTCTAAAATACTACATCCTGGTGCTTCCATGTTTTATTTAAAAACAAACAGGGGAATAGGATATGAATCTGTTCAAATAAATAAATAAGTCCTGACATACTAATATAACCATTTATATCCTCAGTTTAATCTAAGGAAATTAAATCTTTCAGAATAACCTAAATTTTCTTTCTTAGATACTTTTAGAGCCTATTTTCACAGCAGATTCCTGAAATACTTATTTTCCATCGATGTCCATTCTATAGCTGATGTTTTATTTAATTAGGATATATCTAAATTACTCATAAAAGTACTTTTATGAGTAATTTAGGAAAGTGAATTTTTACGTGGAATTCCAAAGGACTCACAGAAACCTAGAAGCCTAGAGCATAATGGATTCCAAGTAAAGAACTCCTGGGTTTATAGCAGCTTCCTCCTTATTTGGATGTAATTAACAGCTAATGATCTCACAAGGAAGTAATTTGGTATCCTAATCGCATTTATTAAAATAATAGTGATCCTCAAATAGGATTTTCAACGCTGTTGATGCATGTCCTTGTTTTCAAACACAGAGCTCTTATAACCTTAATATCATATGCTTACCACGTATTCCTAGTATAGTTCTCCACAACTCTATTTTCATGATCTATATTATTTTTGATTCTTTGAGATGGCCACATTGCTACTAGAAAATATATTTTTATACTATGTCATCTTAGAGCTGTTTGACTTGTGACTAAAATATTTTATTTGTTTGTTTGTTTGTTTGTTTATTCCATCAGTTCTGTGTCTCGTGAAATAGTAGATATATTCAAGTCTTAGAGTTTGCCTTACCTCATTCATGAACACAAAATGTGTCACACAGATGTTGGTACAATCTCTTGCTTGGTCATCTCCTCACGAGACTATCTTTGACAAATCTCTTATTTGTCTACTAATCCTTTCAAATGTCCTATAACATTTTAAGAACTTTCAAGGTAATCCTATTTGGAATCAGTAATCACTACTTTTGTCTTAAAAGTATAGGCACAGATCCATGTATTTGCAGTAAGAATTTCAAAACCTTTTGTACTGACCTGACCTGGATATTAGTGAAGGAGTTTAATAGCTTTAATGTTCAGTAAAACACTTCTGACTTATCTAAGACACATATTTCGAATTAAAAAATGTGCCACATATATTTAGTAGATTGGATTTGAGCTGTGGCAGCTTATTGTTTGAGTTCTCCACTGTGGCAGTTTGCAAGTTTGATGACCAGCTGAGTTCATTGGAGCTTGTCACAGGGATATTTAAGTGTGTCGGCAGGAACATCCAGTTTCAAACATGTAGATGTACTAGTTCCATCTGTCTGCCATCTCATCATTCAGGAGATGAGTTTCACTCCTGTCTTCCTGTGTTTACATGGCGGGGGAGGTAATTTTAAAGATAGCAATCAAGAGGTGGTATCTCTAGTGTCTGTTCCTGTTTCTCAGCTTTATTGTGGCTTGGGCTCTCAGTAATCAATGGCCTTTTGAACTTACGAAGACAAGAGCAGCCATGCTTCCTACAGCCTCCCTTGCTATGCCCATGATGGCTTGTGAGTTAAAAGCATTAATCATTTTTGAACTGAGAGATATTTTAAAACAACACCTCAGAATCACAAAGCCTTATTAATTAAAAATAAAAGGGATGGAAGGGCAGAAAAACCTCAAATAATGAGATTTTTAAATAAACTTAATTTGGTTGAAAAACTAATAGGCATCTTGTCTGCTTTATGTGTATTTAGTTAGACACAGTTGTAAGTAGACGAATCCTGTATGAGTCTGGAAGGCACAGTAGTGTTACAAGATCACTAGATTAAAAATTGTCCATGTAAAAAAAAAAATCATCCATGTATTTGCGGATCTGGTTCCGTGACTTTGGCAAGTTATTTGATCTCCTTGAGCTGTCTCATTTTTCTTATTCATAAAATGAGGACAACAATACTCATTCCTACTTCCCTAGGGTGTTGGTGAAATTAAATGATGTGTGAAAAGGTACTTGGGAAAGCATAAAGTGCCATACATATTTGAAGTATTCTTGTAACTGTGCTTCTATATAATTCAGAGCTTTTGGGGTCAATAAGTAGCACACAAGTCATCATTTAAGAGGGGGGCAAGGGAGTTGCCATGAAGAAAAGTACAGTCACTTAGGGTTAAAGAGAATTCACAAATGCTCACCCTCAGTGGATTTGGGGTGAGGATCTGTAGAAGGTGATTGGAGACCATTGGGTTTCTGTCTGGTTTTGCTCTGTTTTAATGATTATTGCCTCCTTAGAAGTTTGATTCCTGAAGCTGGAGTAGAATGGGCAGTTAGAGTATTGGGAGTGGTAGAAGATTAGCTGAGGAGAAATGTGCGCATGTTATCTTCAGCATGAACACCAAGGAATAGATACTTGGAAGAAGCCTAGGACAAGCTTGGTTGGACCAGCCAAGACCATCCTGGTCAGGCAACCTGGGCAGGCTAAGAAGTATAATAGCAGCCAGGATGTGCATGGTGCTTTCCATGTGCCAAGCACTATGTATACTCAGTGCCTTACGCCCATTAGTTAATTTTGTCCTTACAATATTCTCTGAAGTAGATTTACCAATCTGCTTCTATTATTATGCCATTACACTATTATTTTCCCCATTTCCAAGTGGAAAAAACTGAGACTTAGAAGAGTT